AAAAATGTGTAAAACAGGTGTCACATGCATATTATTCACCTGTTCTACACATTTTTACATAATAGCAGTGAAGGGATGTTCTTTTGTTGATGGTAGAATGAGGAACTGTATATTGTGTCCTTTTTCTTTGTCCGTGATGTTCATAGTGTTACTTCCTGTATGCATGTATATCGTCGAGTGCAATCTAGAAGATTTATAATTGTAGTCAACATGGGCAGTTAAGTACGTTGACACGCATGATCAGTCGGCGTTCGTCGTGTTCTTGTCCACTCAATCTAAAAGTCTGTATTGAAGCTATGTACTGGCACGTGCATATAATATACCCGGTGCATCTACCGGTATATCTTTTAGGGGAAAGGGAACTTCATCAATAGTTTGCACATTTGCATCCCTTCCAAAAACATATCTCTTGCCTTAGTAAACTTCAAATTCTTGGTTTATAAATGTTTAACAGGGCACAAAGGAATCTGTTTGATGTTCTTGGCCCTGTGTATAATTGGTGTTATTATCCCCTCGCCGACGAAGTCGGAGGGGATATAGAAACGCTGCCGTCCGTGCGTCCTTCCTTCCGTGCGTCCGTCCGTCCGTAACAAATTTGTTTGCCGATCAATTACTTGAGTTATGTTCAACAGATTTTAATGAAATTTGATATGAAGGTACATGATATCAAAATACAGGCTAAGTTCGATTTTGGAGTACGTGGGTCAATTGTCAAAGGTCATAGCTCATTAAATATGCGGGAAAAAAATCTGGTTTCCGATCGATAACTTTAGTAATGTTTGACGGATTTTAATGAAATTTGATACGAAGGTTCATGGTATCAAACACAGCTTAAGTTCGCTTTCGGAGTATGTAGGTCAAAGGTCATAGCTCATTAAATATGCAAATCTTGTTTCCATTTGATAACTTGAGTAATGTTTGACGAATTCTAATGAAATTTAATATAAAGGTACATGGTCTCAAAATACAAGTACAGCCAAAGTTAGATATTTGAATATGTAGAATATGCAAAAACACCTAATTATATATGTGAAAATGTGGTTAACTTACGTGCCTAGTAATATAATAGTTTAGTCCAATGGAGGTAACTTGTTCTGACGTATATAGGCCATTTGTACCCTGCGAGGGGATGCTACGCTTTGCGTTGACTTGTTAATATTGCTACTCTTAACATATTGGTACATGTACATGATTACTGTAGATCAATTCATCCTATCTTCTCCTTTACTCTCCCTTGGTAAGACTGAACACATGTATGTGTTCATGCGGGGGGTATCAACATTTTACTTCTTTTCTCCTTTGCGAGCCTAGATTTTTGCTCCGTATCCACCCTTTTAATTTAATGATTGTAATCCTATTAACATTTATAAATGGTTAAGATACGAGGCACCAAATGGTGTGAACTTTGAAACCTGTTCTTAGACTTAAACTCTCCTTTTATTTCATTAAAAAATTCTCTGTTGAGTACATGGTAAACTAAGATGAGATATTCCTACTGTCGCACAAATAGAATTTGATATGAAATGTCATGGCAATAGTTCTTCAGCCTGTTCCCCTATTTATTTCCTTTTCCCTCTTACTCTCTGTAGTTCTATTAGCACATCTAGGACAACCGCTCATGGAGATTACACTTGTATGACTAACATGCAAGTAAACATCTGCATCCCATCACTAATCACTATGTCATTTAATTCAGGTTACACTTTGTACTGAGAGAGATTGTGGACCTACTGTGTCACTTGATGTGGCAGAGATAATATGCTCCATGCCTTCCTTGAAGAAAGTTTTTCTACGAAGTGCATTGCATCATTGTTTTTTTGAAGCACTTGCAAGGAAAGGAAAAAAATCAAAGGTGAGCAGTTCATACACAATTGTGATGTACTGATGTATGTGTGAGTGTTTAATTTAATTTAATTCCATTAACATATCTTCCTTTTTCTAATCTACATTTTACTATTTTTTAATTCTTTTAAATGTCTCAATAATGCTGGTTCTTTTGACTGAAGAATTATATATCAATGGTATTTTCACTACGGCCGCAGCAGTGTTTAATAACGAAAGCCTTTAAAGGGCCACTCTAACCCAACTAACATAGCCTTTCAAAACATGAATACACCTTTACTAATATTCCAGCCTCTGATTTTTCTGAAAATCTCTAAATTGACAAAAAATGATAATAACCATCCATTTTTCACAGTTCTCACGCTTACTGGGCTATGCCCCACGAAAAAAGGTAATACGGTCACGTGGCTTGATGACGCATTTGAAGTCATTGCTGGCATGTCCGATTCGATAATTTGATAATTAGGAATGAGGCAATTGCCAGAAACGTATCAGGATTATCAAGTGCATATTATTTTTCAGATTGACTTTTTTAAAGACATGCATTTTAATGCCTAAATCACTGTCCTTTTCACCGGAGAAGCGCCTGCAGGGACTTCAAATGCGTCATCACTGAAACTGGGCTTTATTCTGAACATTCTGAGTCGTCATTTTTAAAGCTAAATTTCCAGCATTATTAATGATTTCTGAGAAAAATCATTGTCATTTTCGGAATCTCTGTCCAAAATTATTCTACATGTACATGTCTTTTTTAGCCCATTTTGGTGATAGTGGCCTCCAAGGGAGCATTGTTGGCCCCCTGTTATTTCCAATGTAATCTGGACAATGCATTGAGATGGTGTTCTAGAAATTGAATGGAACTAAATGCAAAGATAATGAAAGTAATGCCGATAGCAGGAATAAAGAAAAAAGATGTCAGTCTTCCATCTTACCATGTGAACGTAGATTCTGTAGAGGTTGTAATCGAAATGAAGTATCTAGGGATAATATTAAACCACAAACTTTCCTGGGATAGTCATGTCACTTATACCATCTCCCGTGCAAATAGAATTCTTGGTTTATTTACCTCTCTTTCTTCCAGTCTCTCCCTCTCAGCAATATTTGCTCTGTATAAATCATTGGTTCTCCCGATACTCAAATATGGTTTACCTGCCTAGAATCCCTACAATAGCTGTCTCTCAGATAGGACTAACCAATACAAATAGGTTGGAAGCCCTATAGAAAATTCATATAGAATTAAAATAAAAAGATAACACTTTTACTAAATAATCCTCTCTATAGAATCTTTAATGTTTTCTTTCTCTCAGCAGACAAAAACTGAATTTATAATTAAATCTATTCAATATTTTTTTCTTGAGAATGTTATTATGAATGCAACTGTAATTAATGGAAATTTTATGAAATATTAGAAAAAAGTCAGAAACTAGTAAATAAAACATTTGCATGTATGTATGTGTTGCTTAAATATATTCACAAACAATGCAGGTCCAGATCCTTAAGCTTGATGGTGTCAAGTGTCCCACACCAGCCTCATCACATCACCTAGTAGAAGCACTGTGTTCTATGCCAAACTTGACTAACCTGACACTTGGAATGAATCTCAACGAGGAGTTCTACTCTACATTGAAAGAAAAGGCATCATCCATACAGGTATGTGTGTCCTAATGTAAATGTCATGGAGGGTCATTGATCAACAGAAATATACGGTGCACATTTATCTGTTTTTTTCTTCTTCCAAACACCCCCCCTTTTAAAGGCCATTCACTTGGTATATTGGGTCAGTCATAAAACACAAAATAAAAGCGAACTACACATGTACTGATTCAGCTAAAATTCAAGTGTGCATAAGATTGACATAGTTTTGATCAATAATCAATATCCAACCTCTTCCAAGATTGATTGATACAAGAAATATGTACTTTAGTTATTAAGAGTCAATTTTAATAAAGACTTGAATTTACCAAACTGAACCATAGCAACAAATCTGTTGTCTTAAGGGTCTTGTTCACATGAAATTCAGTGTCATGAATACCTGTAACAAATGAATGGCAAATGTATATTTATGGGTATTTATGAATTTTAGTGTTATTAGGAGTAGGACTCATCAATGCAAACAGGTTGGAAGCCCTATAAAAATACATATAGAATTTGAAAGAAATCGCTCTCACTCAATCATCCTCTCCAAAGAAACTAAAAGGACAAGTCCACTCGAAAAATAACTTACTTTCAATAAAAGCAGAAAAATCAGACAAACCGATCAAAAAAGGTTTGAGCTAAATCGGATAACTAATAAGAAAGTTATGAATTTTTGAAAAAGTATGTAAAACTATGGAACAATGAGAATCACAACACAAATTGCCAAGATGGTTATCAGTTTGTGACGTCATGTCCTCACAACTTCTCAATTGCTTTATATAGTTTAATCACATTGATTTCCCTTTTTATCCCCCAAAACTTGATTTCCCCATGCCTTTGCCCAGGTTATATGACTTGTATCATATTGTATGCATGACATTTCCCAGAAACTTTTATGAATTTTGAAGAATTGATACTATTTTCTGAATATTGTTTATTCATAATTATTGATTTTTATATAAATAGTTTATCAAAATTCAATTTTTCATGATTTAAGTGGACAAAAATTACTCTTTATTTGTGCATCCACACAAAAACACATGACTAACAATCTAACTTGGATGCTGGTGTGAAGAAATAAGATTCTTAGGGTGAAAATAGGAAATTTATATTATCAATATAAAGAAAATAATTAGTGGATAGTGAGGACCATACGTCACAGACTCATGAGTGAGTTGCCAATTTGTGTAGTGATTTTCAAAGTATTTCATGTCATTAAACATTCATAACTTTCTTATTAGTTATCCGATTTTGCTCAAACTTTTTTTGATTGGTTTGTCTGATTCTTTTGGTTCTATTGAAAGTAAGTTATTTTTGGAGTGGACTTGGGCTTTAAGTGCGTTCTTTTTCTCATACAAAAATTGAATTTGAAAATAAAATCTATTCAATACTTTTTCTTCAGAATATTATTATCATTACAACTATATAATTATTGTAATGTCTATGAAATATCAGAATACAGTCAGAAACTCGTAAATAAAACATGCATGTATAGATGTGCTGCTGAAATATATCCATTAACAATGAAGGTCCAGATCATCAAGCTTGATGGTCCCCAGTATCCCACACCAGCCACATCACATCACCTAGCCGAAGCACTGTGTTCAATGCCAAACCTGACTGACCTGACACTTGGAAGGAATCTTCATGAGGAGTTCTACACCACATTGACAGCAAAAGCACCAACCATACAGGTGTGTTTTTTCTAATGGAAATTACATGGTGTCATTGATCGACAGAAACGGCATTAATAGTAATATGGTGCACAGGCATATATGTTTTTTTTCTTCTTCCAAACAACCTTTTATAAAGGCCATTCACTTAGTATATTTGGACCATCATGAAGCATGAAATAACAGCAAATTACTCATAAACTGATTCTCTTGATTTTCAAGTGTGTATTGACACTGTTTGGCTCAAAACTCAATAACCAAGCTTTTTCAAGTTTGATTAAAAGTAAAAATAAGTCATTTAGTTTTTGTAGAGCCAAGTTTAATAAAGGCTTGAAATTTTCAAACTGAACCATAGCAACTATTAACCTCCTGGCTAAGAGGTCTAGTGCACATGAAATCCAGAGTTAGGAATACCTTAATACATTAATATTAAATGGTATTATTAAAGGATAAGTCCACTCGAAAAATAACTTACTTTCAATAAAAGCAGAAAAATCAGACAAACCAATCAAAAAAAGTTTGAGCAAAATCGGATAACTAATAAGAAAGTTATGAATTTTTGAAAAAGTATGTAAAACTATGGAACAATGATATTCACAACACAATTTGACAAGATGGTTATCATTTTGTGACGTCATGTCCTCACAATTTATCAATTGCTTTACATAGTTTAATCCCATTTATTTCCCTTTTTTATCCCCCAAAACTTGATTTCGCCATACCTTTGCCCAGGTTATATGATTTGTATCATATTGCGTGCATGACATTTCCCAAAAACTTTTATGAATTTTGAAGAATTGATACTATTTTCTGAATATTATATTTCATAATTATTGATTTTTATATAAATAGTTTATCAAAAATCAATTTTTTCATGATTTAACTGGACCAAAATTACTCTTTATTTGTGCATCCACACAAACACATATTACTAACAATCTAACCTGGATGCTGGTGTGAAGAAATAAGATTCTTAGGGTGAAAATAGAAAATTTATAATATCAATATACAGAAAATAATTAGTGGATAGTGAGGACCATACGTCACAGACTCATTAGTGAGTTGCCAATTTGTCTAGTGATTTTCAAAGTATTTCATGTCATTAAACATTCATAAATTTCTTATTAGTTATCCGATTTTGCTCAAACTTTTTTTGATTGGTTTGTCTGATTTTTCTGGTTCTATTGAAAGAAAGTTATTTTTGGAGTGGACTTGGGCTTTCATTTCGGTCTTTGTACGAGTAGGAGCGATCAATGCAACAGGTTGGAAGACCTATAAAAATACATACAGAATTTACAAAAAATTACTCTCACTAAATCATCCTCTCCGTAGAAACTTTAGTGTGTCCTTTTTCTTAATAGACAAGAATTGAATTTGAGCATAAAATCTAGTCAATAATTTTGTGTGTGAATGTTATTATGAATAAAATTACTGGTATGTAATAAATGGAATTTAAATGAAATGTAAGAAAACAGTCATAAATTAGTTAAATAAAACATGTGCATGTATAGATGTGCTGCTTAACTATATCCACAAACGCTGCAGGTCCAGACTCTTAAGCTTGATGTTGTCAAGTGTCCCACACCAGCCTCATCACATGAACTTGCAGAAGCACTGTGTTCTATGCCAAACCTGACTGACCTGACACTTGGATGTATTCTCAATCAGGAGTTCTACTCTACATTGAAAGCAAAGGCATCATCCATACAGGTGTGTGTGTCCTAATGTTAATGTCATGGAGGGTCATTTATCGATAGAAACAGCAGTTATATTTAGTTGTCCAGATGTATATATATATATATATATATGTTTGTTTTTTCCAAACACCCTTTTTTTAAAGGCCATTCACTTGGTATATATGAACAGTCATGAACCATGGCGTTGTGGCGTGCGCCTGTAATCCAGCTAACAGTGGAAGTTACAAACTGATTCAGCCAAGGACGCAGCTTCGAAACTGAGTTGCGTCTTTCGGATGGTGACGTTTAAAGGTCGGTCCCCAGATGTAAATAATCATATCTGATTGATACATGTCTGTAAAAACACATTACACACACACATGGAATAAAGCAAATCACACATGTACTGAATCAGTTGATATGCAAGTGTGTTTAAGATTGACATTGGTTGGCTCAAAAATCAATAACCTACCTTTTTCAAGTTTGATTGACAGTAAAAAATAAGTCATATAGTTTTTTTTGAGCCAATTTTGTCAAAGGCTTGAAATTACCAAAATGAACCATAGCAACTAACCTCATGACTAAAAGGTCTTGTGCACATGAAAAACAGAGTTAGGAATACCGTACTACATTAAAAGCAAATGTATAATCAGGGATATTATTGTATCACCCGGCATGGGTACTTTGGATTCAGTAGCGTTATGCCGCATCATATTCTTGTGTGCGCTCTAACCGCCACATTCCTTGACGGGTTTCTTTCAAATTTTGTATGGAGGTGTATCTTGGTATAATCTCGACACCTATAACTTTTGGTGACGCTGCCCCCAGTGTTCCGTCTTCTATAGGGTAAAAGGCCATATTTTTGTGGATGGTTTTTGTGCGCTCTATAGGCCACATTTCTCAAGGGATTTTCGTTTAAATTTTAAACGAAGGTGTATCTTGGTATAATCTACAAGCTTTCATATTTTGGTGATGTTCCCTTGGGTGTTCCGTCTTTTATAGGGTCAAAGGTGATATTCTGATAGGTGACTTGTGTGCACTCTAATGTTCAGTCTAACTGCATCATTCCTTGACGGATTTATTAAAAAATTTGTATGGAGGTGTAACTTGGTATAATCTACACACCTATAACTTTTGGTGATGCTGCCCCCAGTGTTCCGTCTTCTATAGGTTAAAAGGCCATATTTTTTGGAATGGTTTGTGTGTGCTCTATAGGCCATATTTTTCAAGAGATTTTGTTCAAATTGTTAACAAAGGTGTATCTTGGTATAATCTACAAGCCCATAGCTTTCGGTGATGCTGCCTTCAGTGTTCCGACTTGTATAGGGTCAAAGGTCATATTTTGTTAGATGTCTTCGTGGCACTCTAGTTTGCGGTCTAACTGCATCATTCCCTAACTGATTTTCATCAAATTTTGTATGGAGGTGTATCTTCTTTATGGTCAAAAGGTCATATTTTGGTGGGTGTCCAGTGTGCGCTCTGCATGTCATATTTCATGACGGATTTCTCTCAAATTTTGTATAGAGAATTAAAAATTTATCTTGGTACAATCTACACTTTTGGGCAATGCTGCCCTCATTATTCCGTCTTTTATATGGTCAAAGGTCATATATGTCTTGTATTCGCTCTCACTGCCATATTTCTTGACAGATTTCTTTCAAATGTTGTATGGAGGTGTGTCTTAGTAGAATCTACACATATTTGGTGTTTGTGATGCTGCCACCTGTGTTCTGTCTGTTATAGGGTCAAAGGTCATATTTTGGTGGCTGTCTTTTGTGCGCTCTAACTGCTGCATTTCTTGACAGATTTCTTTCAAATTTTCCACAGAGATGCATTATACTCTAATATACACACATGGTGATGCTGCTCCTAGTCTGGACAATAGTCTGAGCTACTAGTGGCGATCTCTACATCATCCTTTTGTTTCAGGTAGGGTAGAGGGGATTTTTGTCCCTCCTTCAAACATAAGGATGATACAAAAACACTGCCACTGCCGGGGGATACATTCGCATTGCGCGGCAATACAGATTGCGATATTTCTAGTTACTTTCAGGATTTGTAGGAGTAGGACTTATCAACGCAAACAGGTTGGAAAACCTATAGAAAATATATATAGAATTTACAAAAAATCGCTCACACGTAACCTTCCTCTCCATAGAAACTGTAGTGTGTCTTTTTTCTCAATACCGGTAGACAAGAATTGAATTTGAGAATAAAACCTATTCAATACTTTTGTGTTTGAATGTTATTATGAATAAAACTATGTAATTAATAGAATTTGTATGAAATATAAGAATACAGTCAGAAATTAGTAAATAAAACATATGCATGTATAGATGTGCTGCTTAAAGAGAAGGTTGGGGTCTGGGAAGAGGTGAAAAATATATAATTTGTGAGGATTATCGTCGTTATTATGCAAGTGTGGAAGAACATTAGATAAAAAATGTTCCCTGAAAAGGATGACTCTTCAAATGCCTTATTATTCAAAATATGGCATGTAATAGCATACAAATCAGGACAGATTTTTATACCACATGTTTATGTAGTCCCATGGCACTGAATGGCCGCCTTTTTTTTCCAGCAGCATATTGCAAAGGTAGTCCACCTAGAAATTGTGCAGAGAGGTCCCCGGAGAACATGTTGAGACCAAACGACCTTTCACAACACGCCATGCCTCAAAACCCCCAAATTGGAGTTTTGCCCCCTAGCTGGCCTACCAATACTAATATTTTACATGATCAACCTTTTCTAATCGATTCCACACTGTTTCTTTCATGATGCGATCGCATGACCAGACCTGAACTTTATCTCTAACTGTATTCACAATCAATGCGCGTCCTGGGCAGTGTTTCACAAAGATTCTATAAAGTCGAACTTAATTATAAGTTGGACTTTAAAATTATGGAGGACCATTTGTAGGCTTAAAATAAAATATAGCAAATATTCAAGTATTTTAGACTTTTCATAAATTCCACATCAAGAACATCAAATCTCCCATCAAAATTGAAAATATGAATGATTTGAATCAACATTTTATGGCTTTTAATATTACAAAATATTTTCAGAGGTGCTAACGGCTTTCCATAATTGTTAAGTCCAACTTAGAGATATGTTCAACTAAGGATCTTTGTGAAACACCCCCCAGATTCTCAAGTTTGATGTTGTCAAGGGTCCCACACCAGCCTCATTACATGACCTTGCAGAAGCACTGTGTTCTATGCCAAACCTGACTGACCTGACACTCGGAAGTATTCTCAATAAGGAGTTCTGCTCTACATTGAAAGCAAAGGCATCATCCATACAGGTTTGTGTGTCCTAATGTAAATGTCATGGAGGGTCATTTATTGACAGAAACGCCAGTGATTCACTTGGTATATTTGAACAGTCATGAAACGTGGAATAAAATTAAATTACACATGTACTGATTCAGATGATATTCAAGTGTGTATAAGATTGACATTGTTTTGATAAAACAAATCAAAAACCAACCTTTTTCAAGTTTGAAAGTAAAAGAAAGTCATACATTTTTTAGAGCCAATTTTAATAAAGGCTTGAAAATACCAAAATGAACCATAGCAACTAACCTCCTGTCTAAGAGGTCTTGTGCACATGAAATCCAGAGTTAGGAATACTGAAAAACATTAATAGCAAATGTATATTCATGGGTTTATTGATTTCAGGATTTGTATGCAAACTGGCTAGAAGACCTATACTAAAACATATATAATTTACAAAAAAATCACTCTCACTAAATCATCCTCTCCATAGAAACTTTAGTATGTCATTTTTCTTAATTGACAATAATTGAATTTGAGAATGAAATCTATTCAATACTGTTTTGTGTGAATGTTATTATAAATAAACCTATGTAATTAATGAAATTTGTATGAAATATAAGAATACAGCCAGAAAGTAGTAAATAAAACATATCTATGTAAAGATGTGCTGCTTAACTTTATTCACAAACAATGAAGGTCCAGATCCTCAAGCTTGATGTTCCCCAGTGTCCCACACCAGCCTCATCACATGACCTTGCAGAAGCACTGTGTTCTATGCCAAACCTGACTGACATGACACTTGAAGGTATTAACATCAGTGAGGAGTTCTACTCTACATTGAAAGTAAAGGCATCATCCATACAGGTAAGTGTGTCCTTATGTAAATGAAATGGAGGGTCATTGATTGACAAAAAAGTAGTAATAGTTACATGGTGCTCATGTATATATGTTATTTCTTTGTTAGTTTTTGAAAAAGAGACAACCAAAAAACCAATATATCTATTGATCCCATAAATAAATATAAATATTAATATAAATATAAATGTTCCCATTTATATGCTTAAATTTCATCTTAGCAGCAAATATGTTTGAACATACACTGTTGGCGATAATGGTGGAATAATTATTTTTACCCCAATTGATGGAATGGTTTTGACCATGATTTATTCCTAATAGATCTAAATAATAGTGCCGTAAATCACCGTGTATAAGGCGCATCTGTGTATAAGGCGCACCCCTATTTTGGGGTTGTTGTTTTGTTGCCGAAAACCAACGCGGGGAAGGACCTTCATTTAACATCGAGGTGCAGTTAAAGGCGCTGATTTGTGCTTGTAAACTTGTCACAAATAATAGTAACAATGTCGTTTTTTGAAGAATGTGTAAGATCATTAATGTAAATTGAAAAAAATAGAGTACCTAGGTCCTAGGATAGAACCTTGTGGTACACCATTTGTTATATAAAAATAAATGAACCATAGCAACTAACCTCCTGTCTAAGAGGTCTTGTGCACATGAAATCCAGAGTTAGGAATACTGAAAAACATTAATAGCAAATGTATATTCATGGGTTTATTGATTTCAGGATTTGTATGCAAACTGGCTAGAAGACCTATACAAAAACATATATAATTTACAAAAAAATCACTCTCACTAAATCATCCTCTCCATAGAAACTTTAGTATGTCATTTTTCTTAATTGACAATAATTGAATTTGAGAATAAAATCTATTCAATACTGTTTTGTGTGAATGTTATTATAAATAAACCTATGTAATTAATGAAATTTGTATGAAATATAAGAATACAGCCAGAAAGTAGTAAATAAAACATATCTATGTAAAGATGTGCTGCTTAACTTTATTCACAAACAATGAAGGTCCAGATCCTCAAGCTTGATGTTCCCCAGGGTCCCACACCAGCCTCATCACATGACCTTGCAGAAGCACTGTGTTCTATGCCAAACCTGACTGACCTGACACTTATATCAAAAGGTATTAACATCAGTGAGGAGTTCTACTCTACATTGAAAGTAAAGGCATCATCCATACAGGTAAGTGTGTCCTAATGTAAATGAAATGGAGGGTCATTGATTGACAAAAAAGTAGTAATAGGTACATGGTGCTCATGTATATATGTTATTTCTTTGTTAGTTTTTGAAAAAGAGACAACCAAAAAACCAATATATCTATTGATCCCATAAATAAATATAAATATAAATATGAATATAGATATAAATGTTCCCATTTATATACTTAGATTTCATCTTAGCAGCAAATACATTTGAACATACACTGTTGGCGATAATGGTGGAATAATTATTTTTACCCCAATTGATGGAATGGTTTTGACCATTATTTCTTCCTAATAGATCTAAATAATAGTACCGTAAATCACCGTGTATAAGGCGCACCTGTGTATAAGGCGCACCCCTATTTTGGGGTTGTTGTTTTGTTGCCGAAAACCAACGCGGGGAAGGACCTTCATTTAACATCGAGGTGCAGTTAAAGGCGCTGATTTGTGCTTGTAAACTTGTCACAAATAATAGTAACAATGTTGTTTTTTGAAGAATGTGTAAGATCATTAATGTAAATTGAAAACAATAGAGTACCTAGGTCCTAGGATAGAACCTTGTGGTACACCATTAGTTATATATAAAAAATTGAGGAATTATTATTATAAACTTCATATTGAGATCTACTTTCAAACCAAGATGACAGACAAATTTTAGTGTTGTTGTAGTTTCCGAGTGGTGAGTCAACACACTGGTTACCGTACCTGTGTATAAGGCGCACCCCCGACTCATGAAAGACCACCATTATTGGTGATAATGAGTCACCCTGTCTAAATATCAGAAACAAATGAATAGCTAAATAAATATCATTCACAACTCTATCTGAGATCAAAATGAGAAAAACAACAACTACTAAAAAATTATTGTAAACAGATACATAACTTGGACTAGGAATTCAATAGTTGTCCAAGAAATGTCACATAAATAGTGATATTTGAGGAGTTATTAGGTACATTGAAAAAAAAATCTGAATCAGTCTATTAAATGCGAGGTTCTTACAGTTGATCTTGATTTTAAAAAAAAAGCTTTGTTGCCTTTATTCAGATTTTCATATACAAAATTATAAAGAGGAACATAATTTTTCTTAAAGTAAAAACATAATACATCGTAAAGTATCAAACATAATATAGTACATATTCAATGGAGTATACAGATTGTGATAAATCTCTATAATTTGGAAGAAAAAAAAAGAAGATTTTTCACTATATAAAAAAGTAAAAGGTCACAGTAATACTTCATATTAATATTTTCGGATACAACATTATAAAAAGGATCGTTTTTTAACAGTATAAACATATCTTCTATGCAAATTAATTAGTTCAATATAAATCAAGCAATCTATATTAAGAACTTCTTATATAAACAAAAAGTGAAAGGTGAAGGTGAAGGTGCTGCTTCATAACCCATAACAATCCAATTTGTTATATTTACATAGAATGACATCAAACATTTTTCACTCCTAGATTTTATTATTATTATGAGGCTCTTATATCAGTGAAGATCTGTAACTATACTATTGTAATTATTTTTAAAAAACATTACAAAAAGCAAATAACGATAATAGATAAGTGTCAGGATCAATGAGAAAGTGAGGGAGTGAGCAGGAATTAAATATTTATATATATATATATATATATATAAATATTTTTAATAAAGGCATTTTGAGCACCTCACTGACTGGGGGGGGGGGGGGGGGGGGGGGGGGGGCTTCTAACCCCCCCCCCCCCCCCCCCCCCCATGATCTCGGCCGTCGAAAGTCCGATGAACGCGAAAATGTGCATGTATGTAGATATTTACATAAGGAACAAGATGGTATAATTAGTTTTTTCCTAATTTGCAAATTTTTGTCGTTATAGCCTAAATAATTATGCAAAATGCCAACTTTATGCATTTTACAGAAAACTCTACATATTTGTCTGTAGACTTGTGAAGAATCTTAAAAATGTATTGAATAAATCTTGCTTTCATCTCAAATTCATGAGGTTTCATTATTTTCATATTTGAAAATGCACAGGTTAATTTGCATAAATTATGAATACGCAAATTACGCATTCATGAATATCAAATCTGGAAATTTATAGGGAACTAGAATCATTACAAAAATTGTCAAACTCCACTTTTTGAATGTTGAAACTCATTATTCATTTGCAACTTCTTTTCTAACACAAAATAGTAATTTTGATGTAATTAATAATGATGATTTATGTAAATTTGATGCAATTTTTAAATATTTATTTTCTTATGTATTTTATTGTTTTTTATTTCTTATTATATTTATTGTTTTATTTCTAATGTATTCTTCTGTTCTGGAATACATCAAGTTACATTGAGAAACATATAAAAGGAATTTGATATCAATTCATATCTCCCACTTAGGAAGAAATACATCTACACCTGTATTCACATTTCTGCTTGTAGATGAATATATGCAATTATAGCACTTTTTGATGACCTGCGCATACTACCTGCGCATACTACTGTAGTTATAAGATACGTCAAGCGCTACTGCGGAAGAGAGAGGTACTGCTCATAGTACACTTGCGGGTGATGACGGATCAGGATCAAAGCCTCTTGTAGGAAGTTCTTTTCTTGAAGGTCCCATGATGGAAAGGAACAGCACCCCTCTAAGGAAACCAATCAATGTAGCCACGGGGAACAAGCGTGGTATGTCAGATGGGAAGGTGGAAATGGTGGAGAAGGAGATGGCTATAAATGATATTAAAGTTTTGGGAATATCTGAATCATGGTGGCTTGGACAAGGCACATTTACATCAGACAAAGAAAATACAATCATCAGGGAAAGAAAGTGGAAGGAAGCGAGGGGGTGTGGGATTCATCATAGAGAAGGCTACAGCTAAATGTGTCTTTGGATACAACCCGATCAACGAGAGAATTATGACTGTGAGATTACAAGGGCATCCTATGAATATCTCCATAATTCAGGTATATGCACCAACAGCAGATGCACCAGTGGAAGAAATCATTGATTTCTATGAGATGGTACAAGATGTCGTAGACAGCATTCCTAGGAAAGATTTCCTCATAATATTGGGTGAATTGGAATTCCAAGATTGGTAAAACAAGGGGAAAATCTGAGTAAATTGGCAATTATGGTCTTGGCATCAGAAAAGAAAGAGGAGATCGACTGGAAGAATTTTGTGTAGCAAACAGCTTCATCATTGGTAACACGTGGTTTGAGCATCATTCCAGAAGACCGTGGATGTGGATGAGTCTGGGAGACAGAGCCAGAAACCAGATAGACTACATCTAGTCAAGAAGAGGTGGCGGACTTCACTACAGAACGTCAAGACAAGACCAGGTGCTGACTGTGGCAGCGATCATCAGCTGCTTGTGGCTAAACTGAAATTAAGACTGAAATCTAAGAAATGTGATTCAGCTCCCACAAGGTATGATGTTGAAAACATCCCTTCTCAATTCTCAGTGGAAGTGAAGAACAATATTGAGCTGCTGTTGAGAAACGATGAAGCAGAGCAAACACCAAATGAGCTGTGGGAAGACATGAAAGAAACAGTTGAAAATGCAGCAAAGAATCACATCCCAAAGAAAAGGAAGCGGAAACAACCATGGATCTCAAATCAGACTTTCGACATTGCTGATGACAGAAAGAGTGCAAAAGCAAAACGCAATAGAGGAGAAGGGACGAGACTTAATAAGGCGGTTACAAGTAGTGTGAAGGAGGACAAAAGGAAATACATCGAGGGGAAGTGTGAAGACCTAGAGCGTCACAAGAACAACCCCAAGGCAGCATTTGCAATTGTGAAAGAAATCACAA